GTACTTTGCAGGAATTGATCTCCATCGCAACTGTGGAACATAGTGACAAGTGGGACGACGTCTTACACCTAATAACGCACGCCTATAATATTTGCGAACATGCGGAAACGAAGTATACGCCTCACTTTTTAGTCCATGGTCAAGAGCCTAATAACCCCTTCCGTCTTGCTTTAGAATTGCCTTCAAAAAGATTCGTGAACGAAGAAGATTATGCAGACCAATTAGTTCCAATCCTCAAAAATGTATGGACGCATGTTCATCAGAATATTGAGTCCGCTCAAACCGCGCAAAAACATCGTTATGATCTGAGGAAACGCGCGCAGTCTGCAAATTATCAGATTGGCGATAAAGTTTTGATCAGGAAAGACGTAGGACCAAAAATTGCCCCGCGATTTGACGGACCTTTTGAAATTTTGGACATCGAAAAGCCAAATATAACCATCCGTGACGGTAATAGGACTAGGACTATCCATATGAATCGTACCAAACTTTACAAATCACCACCTAGCTCGCCAACGCCGTAATGAACCTCAAAAAAAAAAAAAAGCTTACGCTTTTGCTTCATCGCTTGTTAGCCAACATCTAATCATTTACACCTTTTATTCATGCTAAAGTAAGGCAACAATACGTAGAGATCTCGTTGAGATCTAAAGGCAAGAGATCAGAGAAAGAAAAAAAAATCAAGCACTATTTTGATTCCCATAAGTGAACGTAATTATACCATTGTTTCGTTCAGTGCAAATGGATCAGTCGCCACAAGAACGCCGGTCACACCTCTTTTCGTTCTTCGGGCTGGTACGCGACGCCGCCTCCTAGTAGAAACACAACAGCCATTTACCATAATCAGCAATAGGCACAGCAGTAGCAGGATCACTGAAAATAAAATTCAAAAAAAAAAGGATACTGCTACTAATTCTTTTTTTTTCGTCTCTTTGTCTTCCTTTAGCGTAGTCCAAATCCAAGAGAGGAGACAACTCGACTTTTTTTTATTACTTTTGAAACTTACCGGCACCACCAATCGCTACGGCTATCACCATATCAAACGGCTCTTTTGGATAACCATTAGTAACAGGAACGGCCGTTGTAATCGAGTTGTTATCCTCCTCTCGACAGTCGTCGAAAGCAGATACTTCGTAGCAGACGCACATGGTCTTATTCGTCATGGCGAAACAACTCCCTCGCTCGAAGCAACGATTTGGACAAAAGCCCCGATCGATTAATCGTGCCATCCTACAACAACAACGTCATCAAGCTGATTTTATAATTCTACTAATCGAGATGGTTGCGAATCAACGACATTCAAACAGTATCAATCAACACATTTAAGAAGAAATCAAATATACGATCAATCATAACATCAACAAAGTCAATGAAGTCATTTCCGCGCATTGAAGTGCATTCTAAATGACTCATGCCTTCTTCTAGCACATGAAGTGACTCATCTATGATTACGTCATCTTCACGTATATGTATAACGTGTTTCAATTAGTCGTATTTCTCTGTATTTAATTTCATTTCTCCTCTCTTTAAGAACGTGTTGTTCTACTATTAGTTGTGTTATTAATTATCCAATGGAAGCATAGATCTCACACATTATTACTATTTCGTAGAAGTTTTTGTGGCATATTTCAAAGATTGCCTTACTTCCGCATCATTACAAACTACTGGGTTGTAAAGCTAAACTCCACATCTTCCTGCCGCAAACGTTGTCCAGACCTAATACATCCCTTCTTTTAACCCCGCTCACCGGATAACACTACATATTCATAGTCTTATCTGTACGTAGCATTAATAGTGTGATAGTGCTTTACTCGCTCTTGCCCACAACTCCGAGTCTATCTATTATTTCAATCACCAACTTATTACCTATATGTTATACAAGTTCCGAGACGGAACTTCTCGGAGGAGGTGAGATGTGCAGGCTATGCACCATATCTCACATTTAATGCACTTACTAGTCATGTGTTCTTTTTCGTCGTTCTCCAACGAGCGGGTATAAATAGAAGGGCGCAGGGTCTCGGACGTTCAGTCACCCCGCCCCATGCTGGGCTGCGGCTGGAGCTGAGGAATGCAGCTCGCTCCTGAGTTTTTAGCTCTTTGCATTGCCTAGCCATGCTACTGCTTACTGTTTATTGTCTTGTTGTCGTGCTTTCCCTTATCTAATGCTTTGTACTGAGCCGGTTCAGTTTGATAAATCTAGTTAATAATGATCATGATGTTCAAGGTTGAGGTTCGGTTTGGAAGGTAACAAAAGACAGAACTCGCATATTTTCCCGAACCTTACAGCCCCAAATAGGGTTCACAGCGTTATGATCGGCCTCGGAAAGCGCGCTCCAATCGCAATCGGTTATTGTAAATTGTAAAGTTTCGCAGCTGACCAATAAATGAGTAGTATCTTACAAGGAAAGGACCCTCGGTCGAAGTGGGGTTTCCACACGTGGTGCATATCATTGTGCTGGCCTTGGGGCACTAATACCAAATTCTTGTTTCTTAGCTGCTCAATGATCTTCTGGGAAAAGTTACGAGTGATGGTTTTTCCAGGATGACCACGGATAGCTTGAGTTAGCGGCCCGAGAAATGTCAGTTGTGGATGGATGGCCGAGTGGATAACTGTGGAGACTATGGAAGAAGTGGTAGAAAGTTCAAAATACTTATGTTTCAAACATTCTTGTACTTGCAAGTTATTCAACGGGTGCAGGATGTTTCTCTGCCTTAGGGCCCTCTAAAGATACGTATCAAACAATACAATCTACAGCATGGAAGAATGTTTGGAACATAAGTATTCCAAACTTTCTACCACTTCCTCCACAGTTGCCACAGTTATCCATTCGGCCACCCACCCACAAATGGCATTTCTTAATCTCGCTAACTAAAGCAATCCTGGTCAAACTGAGGAAACCATCGCTCGTAACTTATTCCAGAAAATCATTGAGCAGTTAAGGAACACGGATTTGTTAATGCCCCAAGATCAGCACAATGATATGCATCACGTGTGGGAACCCCATTTCGACAGAGGGCCCTTCCTTTGTTAAATATATATAAACGTCAAAGTTTGTACAAATCTTGACCCTATGTTTTTTATAGATTCCTTTGCGGATGAACCCATTGAGCTGAAACCTTGAAAACATATATTTTCGGCCTCGGTGGATGGTTTTAAGCTACCCTTCGAAGCAATTCGTGGAATTCTTCTATCGATTTAATGATTTTTGGCACCTTGCAAGGAAAGTGAACACTTACCAGCCGCTAACAAACTGCTTGCACATTTTGGTGTGAACAATGCAGTGAAGTTTATTTCCAATTTAAAATTAAAAGGTGCAATCACTCCAACAAGCCTTTCTGGGGTAAGCTCGTGCAGGAGGGTAAGGGGGAGGGCTGCAGTGCAGTATTGATACTGCAGAAAAGGGGTGGAGAATATGGCCTAAAAGGATAAGTAGGTAGAAGGACAAAGCGTGGTTTTTGGCCATCCCCTCAAACGATGACCCGGGCTGGACCAGGAAAGCCAGTTAGTACTACTATAATAAGCGCTGAGGTCGCCCATCTTATTATTAATGTATATCTGTTTGTCAGCGACTTACGGGGTCAAAAATAGGGTCAAAGGGAAAGTCGTAAGAAAATTTGGCTTCAAAGGGGATATCTGCCACATCCTGCCGGGCCCTGCCGACGGTCACTTATGGAGTCCAACATGGAATATGGAGCGGAGGTTTCGGTGAGCGGTGGTACTGGCAGCCTCTTGCCAGTATACCCGTTTTGGCTTGTCTGGCGGGGCGGCCAGTAAAGCCAGCCGCCGGGCTCCGCTCCGTCCCCACGACTTGGGATGCCTGATCGGGCTGACGGGCGAAGGGGGAATCAGGCTGTCTACGTTGTTTTATTTCCTCCATGGAGTGCAAAGTAGGTTGGACAAGATCTGGATGACTTTTTTATCACAGTTTGATTGTTTCCTTTGTTTTCCTTTTCCTTTTTTCTATTATTTTGTCATTTTACATCCTGCCTTTATCTGTTTTCGTCGTATTAAAGCACGCCTCCTGGCGTACAAAATAAATAAATAGATAAGTATCGCTTTACCGGGCAGCTCGCTGCATGGATGATTGGTGGTCGTGGAAGCAGACGCAAACTTCCCGATGCATTTGTCTGAGCACATCATCTATTGAGCTGACAAGTTAGTTCTTTGAAAGAGGACTCAAAGACAATGTCCATGTGCCCGTTCCACTTCATGGTCCTGATACTTGATTGAAATAGTAGCGGTTAAGAAATATCAAATTTGCCCAGTTTCAAGCGAGTAATCCAAAAATCTTTTGTTATAAAACGAATAGGAATAAAAACTTGTAGGCAGCTTCACGCGCCTAACCCTTCCCATTAGTACCTACTTTAATGTAGAGCCCAGGAGAGGGACATCGACTTTGGTTTGGTCCTCAATGTTGTCTCCGAGTGAAAGTAGTGGACCTGGAATTCACAAAGAGCTACTAAGCCACGCCCGAATCCTATCAAGCCCCTCCATTCAGGTGATTCTGAGTCTCAGGAAATTGGTAAGAGATAGGGTTCAGAGAAGTTTGGTTTTTTGGGGGGTTTTGCACATTCTAAACTTCATAACCGTGATTAGGGCCATGGAAGGGCCTCAGAATGACAAAACATTGAAAGCAAAATTTTGGATGGACGCTGCTTTTAAGATAGTGGTAGACCACGAAGCTCCAATAGTTGCGGAAGTCTTTTTGGCAAGAAAGTTTCTTACAAACAAAGAGTGGACTTGCTTTAGGGGTGTCTTGCTTATACAAGGATGTGTTAGGTTTATTTCGCTGGTGCATGTGTACTACGCAATATTCAATATGCATAGAAGTTTTATTGTAAGCGCAACTGATTTGCAATGCGATAAATAATTGAGCAGTATTATTACAGCAAATAAAGCAATGATAGCATTAAAAAGCGAGGTGCACTTGGTGATGGTGTTATCATAGAACATTATTCAAAAGAAGGAAACAGCCATTAATTTGATTACTGTGAAAGGCTTAGAAGAAGCAACATTCCCGAGCATACGAAGATATGTCGGCGATACCAAAGGCTGTAGCTAGGCGCAGCATTTGTTGACATGTTTCCGGTGTGGATTCCTAAAGGGAGTTATACGGTGTAAGATTCTGATATCACTGCAATTAGCCTTACCTCCATTTGGATCATCTGAAAAGGTGGAGCCGGTGTGAGAGGTACGGGTAGGGGTATATGTGGTGGTAAGATTCCTACAGGTACCTGCGGAGTGTTCGCCTGAGTTGGTGGTGCCACTAACGGTAGCGGAGATGGTTGCTGAGGTATAGGTGGTAATGGCGTCGACTGTGGTTGAAAATGGTCTCCGCGAGGAAGTGGACCGCTATGGCACGGAGTTTTTGTTGAACCTTAATATTCAGGATCATCACCATCAAAATTCAGCGAAAAATGAAATAATTCAATTCATTCCACTTTCCTACTCTAAACCATTCATCAATTTGATCAACAGCTAACTCAAATAGTAAATTACTTCAATAATAAAAAAGAGGTCTCATTTTGGACCACGTAAGTAAGTGACAATAATTTTTTTTGACAACTCAGAATTATCCGAAAATTCACGAGCGGTCTTACCTGTGTTGGAGTAACAGAGACGACTAATGCAGGATGGTTCTCTGTTGCTCGGGTAATCTTCTACTGGAAGAGTTGAGGTGGGACCTGGCAAAACAAAGAATAACTTCACTTGCTTTACAAACATGTGAGATCCTGCTTATCTCATTCAAGACTGAGAAAACACAAGTATCCATTAGCTGCGCTTTCTATTATACGGAGAAATCAGAAAAGTTGGAATTTTACAATCGAAACAGAGTTGTGTTGTAAACAGGGTCCGTAACAGGGAAAAAGCAAAGGGGATACGTTCTTGCCAGGGCTCGGCACGAGGTGGCTAGATGAAAATGCGAAAAACGAAGTCCCCCTTGACTTTTGGGTATTTTTACGAAGTCCCCTTTGACCCTCAACCAAATTTCCTCTAAAAACCTGAAAAATTCCCCAAAATCCCCCAAAAAACGAAACGTCGACTAAAAAAAAAGGTCGCCGTCGCCAATTTTGCGTGTGTCTTCGGTCACAAAAACGAAACCCCCTTTGCTTTTCATCCCAAAAACGACACCCAGCTTGCTTGTAAGCCACCTCGTGCCGAGCCCTGGTTCTTGCTGAATTCGCAAAAAGAGCCGCAGGCATGCCGGCGGCACGCTACAATCAAAAGCGTTGCTTACGTTCAAAAGCAATGGTATGTCACCAATTGTGTTGTGCGAGTGTGGATGGGGGACCCAAACTATGGCCCGAAAACTTACGAAGATTTATATGAATGAAAGCCGTGCTCAATTTTTTTTAGAATTAGCTAAAACCGTCTCAGCTAAGTTCCAGCTTAGCTGAACCAATCCTTTGCTCACAAATTTTCCATGCCTTTCATAATCGTACCTTTACCGTGAAAGTTTATAGACGAAAGAGAAAGTTTCCATCACCTTTTCTTTAGATTTTTTTATAGCCCTCAGAAAATTTTCTATGGTCTCTTTACGCAATCTGCTCTGATTGCGCAGCGCGTCCCTAAGCAACCTATTAGTCTTGGTTATGCTCGTCTTTCATTTCTTTTATTCTCTTTTATCTTCTTTTTCGTTACACAATGTTATCATTCTCAGAAGTAAGGAAGGGGAGGTGGATGGAGTTGGGAGAGAAGGAGGAAAGAATTGGATGAGTAAAGGAGATGGGAAGATTTGTGGAACGTTAGGTTCAGGCACCGACATGGAGCAAAACGCGTTGGCGTATGCGGAAAGTAAATATAGTTTTATGTCAAGTTACTTTCCAAATTTTTTAGTAAAAGAGGGCATTTTCAGCCTTGAACCTTCAATTCTGGAGTGGGCGACAGCAAAAGCAAAAATACGAAGGAGAATTACTGAAAGGGAGGGGTAAAGATCGAAGAAGATTTCATTTAAGAAATTTCAAAATCAAAGGGTGTTTCATTTTGAAATCTTCCTGGTTCGAGCTCGTGCCGAGCCCTTGTAAAATTTCTGTAAGATGAATACTCACCCTTAGGCCCCGGTTAGACTTCACGCGACTTAATCGTCGCGATCTAATCGCCAAGATTTCCATTCATTTTCATTTCATATTCAAAAATTTCGGGCTGGAAAAGTAACACAACTGAATGCAAGTTGATCGGCATGGAATGATGTTGTAACAGTCGTCTCGTCGCGATTCAGTCGCGACGATCAAATCGCGTGAAGTCTGCCCGGGGCCTTATGGCTCTGAAGCCTCGTCGGCTGAGATATCTTACCACTGGAAATCCCATATGTTCTGAAGATGATTGTTTACTTATTACATAATCTCAAAGTCCAACTCACATCGAAGTTTTGGTCGGCGCATTTTGCGTCTGAGAACAGGCAATTCCTCATCGGGATAGTTGTAGTCATCACAATTCTGCAAAATTCTTATAAGACTACCAGAATTACATAGGAAATAAACATGATTCTGATCTGATCTTTAAGACTCACTGTATCGTAGTCCAAACGGTCTCCTGTGTACTTATTTGGCTCTTCAAGTTTTCTGGAACCAAAATCAATAATCAGAGAAGAAAGAAGAAAAGTTGACGTTTTATTGCATGTCATTAGAAGTGTATAGTTTTTAGATTTTATATGACGGCACTTTTTACCAGTTGCTTTCCTTACTGAATACAAACCATAAACTTAACAACCTCCTTCTCCGTCCGAAAAATCTTCTTTCCACGCCATCGCTGATATCCTCATCGGCAAATGGATCCGCAAGTTTCGATGAATCATTGAATTAACAAGAGCTTCCTAAGAGTTGATAAGAGACCCATCATGAGCAAAAAAAGACGTACAGAGATGGCAAAGCTTCCACTTGTGGAGCTGCTTTCACGTTATCTAATAAATTACGATTTTTCTGAATACTTGCATGTAAATGTGAATAATTAGCATTATGTTGTCTTAATGCAGTTTGGTTTTCGCACAGAAAAATGAGATACAAAAATGGTAAAAAGTATGTAAGACGAAATTTGTAGGTTAACCATTCAGAGCAGCGCCTGGTGCTTACTGAAAAAACTGCAGATTGGTGAGGTTATGCGAGAGAGGACACTTTCAGAACTTTCAAAACCCTGGTCATGGGAAAACAGTGCTGCACCAACAATGCCAAGGGAATGGAACATCGTACAATATCTGTATAAATAAAGCTGACTATCTGTTTGTCTGTGTATTCGTTGTTCCGCATAGAACCTTGGGTAGGAAAACGACCTTTTCCAGTTGTGAACCGCCTCCGCTGACAATTGATCCTTTTGCAATGTTTGTTGCATGTCGTCGCAGGACCAGCAGTCCCGTGAAAGCGACCCAAATTGTCGGAAGTCCTTTCTCTCACCCGTAAAATTTACTTTTGAATCGATCCGGACCAAAACCGGCACATGTACACCTCGAGGCGGAGTGGGTGTCGTAGGCTACTCTTTGTTCTCGATCGATTTATCGATTCTTGAGTGTATGATTTTTTTGCAAATTGAGCTACAGGGCTGGAACTTGGCACAGGGGGTAATTAAACATGCTAATTACGAACATATCATTTACAAGGCCGGGGGCAACCAGTTTGCCAGCCAACAATAAATACTTATCTGAATCTGCTTAGGTCTGGAAAAGCGAATACGGTAGCTTAAGGACAGAAGAAAACAAGTTTTCTTTATTTATGTCATGGTTTGAAACCTGCGAAGCACTGGCGTACCAAGCAAAAGAAGAGGGGAAATTGAAAACCATTTACATTTTTTATGGAAATGTCCAGTGATTTGTTTTTACTTGCAAATATTTAAGATAACTTTGATCCTGGGTACACCACGGCCGTACAGGCTAATCTTCATGCTAGTATCTTCTGCTAGACAAGGCAAACCAAGTGACTGAAATTTTGCTGGCTTATGCATTTTTGCTTTCGCTATGGTGCGCCTAGTTATGTTTGGCTATAGGAATTATGTCAGACTCTATATTGTGAAGAACTCACGTTCCAACTCACGTTGGTCCACACCGACTCCCATCTGCCCATTTTTTGGAGGTGGTTTGAAAGAATTTTTCATAATAGTGGCATCTGGAATCGTCATCCTCTATGATTGCGGTATTCGGAATGACAATAGTCGTTAAGGCACATTACCATATGAATATGTTCTCTACGATGTCCAGAATTTATGAAAAGCACCTGCAAAATGGGTTACTTACCGACTGTAAGCCAGCTATAGTAGAGTAAACCGCGCTTCCTCCATCAACTTCTTTCGCTTCTTCTTCACTAATGTTACTTTGACCGCTTTCATAGGACCCTTTTCAGTGAGGTCATTTCCCTAAAATGCTTAGTTTCATTTTCTGAGTTGCAAGAACTACTGTTAAAAAAAGGCATCAACGATGCATTATGTACTTGTATATGTGTTCATTACGTAGTTATGATGTATTCTCTAATCCGCTATAGGTTAATATGACTGCACACTATGCGCGGCAATGGACGAAACCCTCCTAGTAACTCCTCAGTGAAACCTTCTCCAGGGTAACAAATTGTAGAGGTGTAGTATAAACACCTACAAAAACAAATCGAAAGAGGACTAGAAGAAATACCGGAAATGAGTAGGTTCTAAGTTTGCAAGACGTCAAGTAATCATTTTATTATTACCAGTGCTTCACCTCTGCTTCGCAAAAGCTCCATTGGTTCCACTATCTGTGTGTCTTACTCATTCCCGCAATAATGGTATCAAAATTCACCATCGTGGGGTACATCTATGCGCAGAAATATTCACAAATGATTAAACAAATTTTCAGTAAATTGAACATTTCCACAGTTATCAGCATGCTCGATTACCCCTCTGTACCAACTCCCACCCCGCAGGCCAAGCTTTGCAAAATATTATAAAATCGATAAAATCGGTATCGATCGATAACGAGGAGTAGTCTATGACACCCGCCCCGCCTCGAAGTATGTATGGAAAGTTTGGTCCGGATCTATTTAGAAATAAAATTTTCCATTCGGGACATACGTGCATACAGACATACGTACAGACATACTAACAAACATTCAGCTTTATGTATAAAACTAGCTGACTTGTCGGGCTTCGCTCGGCTTTGTCAAAACACTATGATAAAGCTCTCATTCGTACCCCTGTACAACCTTTCCCTGTGTCCACGTCCACATGCCATTTCCCTATTCCCGCTGCTTTAGTAATAAGCATGCTCGATTACCCCCTGCGCCAAGTCCCAGCTCCGTAGGTGAACTCTGCAAAAAAATCGATAAAAAACGATAAAATCGATACTGATCGATGACAAAAAATAGTTTTTGACACCCGCTCCGCCCCGAAGTGTATGTGTGCCAAGCGTGGTCCGGATCGGTTCAGAAATGGAATTTTCTATCCGGGGGCGGTATATATCAATCGCTTGTCCGGGTAAGTTACCCGGCTAGGTGGTTTCCGCTTCATAGCTCGGTGCTCTGGGGATCTGCGTTCTTCCTTGTTTGTTCATCATTTGGAGGTTCTACTACCCTAATATTGCAGTACAATGAGTAGCAGCACTTTGCTGTATAAGCTGAGATAATTCGTTATTTGTATGATCCCGAACGGGATCTCCCACTGATTACGCTCATTTTCAAAATTATTTATATCCGCAAAAACTCAATGAGAACGTCACAGCGTTTTGCTGTCGATCTATTACGACAGTGACTCGCATGTTTGTGATAGAAATAAGTGAAAAATCAAGTTGACAAAATCTTCGACGAACCTGTACTCAAGAGTTGGGCTTTATCGAAGAACTCAAAACTTGCACATTTCATCTATGCTACTAAAAACATGCGAGTCACTGTCGTAATAGATCGACAGCAAAACGCTGTGACGTTCTCATTGAGTTTTTGCGGATATAAATAATTTTGAAAATGAGCGTAATCAGTGGGAGATCTCGTTCGGGATCATACAAATAACGAATTATCTCAGCTTATACAGCAAAGCGCTGCTACTCATTGTACTACAATATTAAGGTAGTAGAACCTCCAAATGAAGAACGAACAAGGAAGAACGCAGATCCGCAGAGCACCGAGCTATGAAGCGGAAACCACCTATCCGGGTAACTTACCCGGACGGGCGATTGATAGATAAAGCCCCGGAACATACGTACATACACACAACACACACAGACACACACAGACACAGACACACACACAAACAGACATTTAGCTTTATATATATAAGATTATTATTATTATTATTATTATTACTATTATTATTTTATTATTATTATTACAACTGTTATTATTATAATTATTATTATAATTACTAATATAATTATGAGTTACAAACGACTTCATCATATTTTGACAGTGCAGAACAAAACGAGACAGGTTTAGAAATAAAGTCACTTGTATCGGTAATATATTAGGTTTCCCGAAAAGTTTTGTCCGTTCTTCAAACCACTATAAAACCAGCGATAAAGACTTGAATGAGTTTCAAAATGCATTCGATGCCGTTTTTCCTTCTCTTTCTCATGGATATATTTTCAAACCACAATCTTGCAGGTTTTTTTAATTGCCAAAATTCTCCACCCGTCAATTTTATCTGCTCAAAGTTAAGCTAATTTTCAAGAATTTCATTTCAAAGTTTCGAAAAGGATTGAGTATGGATCAAATAGAGCAATTCTCAGACTACAAGGCGTTTTTTTAGATTCTCCTAATCTGCTGTTTTTAGCTTCAAAAGATTGTTTCTTTGGGTCTCGATTTTTGGCGAAGTCATGAAGCACGCAACTGCAGCAAATACACGAAAGCGATTTGCTTTGAAAAAGCAAGGTTTTGGAATTTGCGGAAATTTTACGTGACAAACGTAATCAAAAAGGCACGGTTTTTCTCAAATAAATAATCATAACGAACTTGGTAAACGTGGCCCATGTAACTCAAAATAGGTACAATGTAGCCAAAGCCAGCCAACTACTGTTATGTAGTTTCCTCTACATAACAGTTACCAGCGCTTTTTAGAAATGTCACTATAAAAAAGTTCAAAATTCAGGAAAATTTGGCGCTACCGCTGAGCTGCCCAAAAAGCCATGGCGATAGCATTGCAAAGACAGGGTAGATCAGAGAGCAAGAAGCTATAAAAAAGAGGATGAAATATGAAATTCTGAATCAAATGGTGCTTAAGTCATCCAGGATTTGGTGTTCTGTGAATTTTAGTGAACGGATGAATTGATGAAAAAACGGACAAAACTTTTGGGACAACCTAATACTTTTTTTGTTTTCATTTTCGTCCTCCAAAAACCAATTAAATTTCCACTACTTTCGATAGAAAAGAATATCAAGGTTAGAGGCAGAATCGTAACCTACTCAATCAGTATCTTCTGTCCTTCCTGGAGAATTTTTACCAAAAGTATACTTTATGTATTCCAACCGTATTCTTCACGCCATGCATCCGCGGAGATTTCGTTGCTCTTCTTGACATAATAAATTCTCGAACTGGTTCTGGTGTAGTGACGTGTTCTTTGCCTTCTTCAATGACATTGCAATATTCATCCACATATTCTTCTATGCAACGATAACTGCACACAAAGATTCATTCGCATTTACATACATAGAACTATTAGCTTAACCAATAAATGATTTTGCTCGCTTTTGCGACTTTAAAAATGCTGCAGACAAATTTTTGTTCGATGTTTGGAATTTCCCGTAGTATAAATCAAAATTTCTAATTACTTGCTAGTTAGAAAAATTATGTGTGTAATCAAAAAGCAAATTACTCATACTTACATCTATCACAATGAAAACGAAGTTTAGAAAGTTGAAGAGCTGAGCTTTCGAAAATTTAACCATGTTAGGGTATAACTGCCCTTTATTAGTAAAAAAAATTATGATTAGCTGATATATGATAGTAAGCTTCAAACTTTTTACCTCCGAAAAATCATGGATAAAAATAACAACTGTTTTATGAAGATTTGCATGCCAAAACAAAATTATTTTCGTTGACCAACTCAATTTTTTTCTATTAGGTTGGCGGGAAAATAATGTCGCATCGTGTTTTAACATGCAATATCGCAGCGGGTGCGCACGAAAATAAGTATTAGGGTGAACGGTAAAAAATGGGACAGCTTGATTTTCATTACATTTTGGAATTTTTTTGTTTCGGGCAACAGCAAGTAAGCGGCAACTTAAACGTCGCTTACATGGGCGACCTTCGCTTATTATTCTGACAACGCGTTAACGCTCCTCTTCCACTACCCTACACGTGGCGCCGTGAAGAACTCGAACAGGGTTTTTCGAGCAATCCTCAATCTTGCGCTGTTATACCGTAAAGTCGTAAAGCAAATGACATACCATTCGAAAGAGCTCTTCATGCTCTTTCGAACGATATGTTAAATGCGTGAGATTTCTTTTCAATTTCAGGAGAAAAAATCGAACAAACCTGAAAAATAGCTATTTTTGGCGCAACAAAAAACCAAAAAATCATGTTTTGCCCTATATTTTCCGAAGATAGATGAAATCTGAGGTAAGCTGCATATGGGTGGATAGAGCGTAAAAAGCTCTATCAGATGATACCTAGAAATCATGCGTTTACCTGCAAAGAATTGAATAACGCGTATCTTTGTTCTCGAAGCTGTTAATGGGCATATCTCCTGACATGAAGAGTTAAAGCCACCAAGCCGTCATGGGTTTGGTGACTGTCCCACCACCCACTCCAGCAGTGGTACTTTGGGTGGTCTCACATGTTTTACTGCGCCGATACTGCTCAAACTTCATAATTTCTCGAAGTAACTAACTTTGCATTTTAGCAAGTATAAAAATTATCAATTATATAAATGACCTTATATAGGTGCTATCTGAAAGAGAATAATTTATTCTAATATCCATCAAAACTGGAAAGTTCAGTCACTTTTCTTCCTTGAGAAATCTGCAATTATTCTCAAGGTGTCCCATTTTTTACCGTTCACCCAATAAGTGAGGTACCTTGCGATAGATCAAAACAAGCTCTACGAAATGAAGCTCGAACCTTTGCACCAGGTCTGATTTGCGTGAAGTTTGAAGCCAAATTTCATAAGGCACTAGAAATCAAAAAAATCATGTCTCCGTTCAGAAAAGTCCTGGGAACTCCTAACACACTCTTATACGCATTTTCGCGGTTTTTCTATGGTTGAAAAATAAGAAAAAATTCGGCATATTTTTGCCAAAACAATCCTGAGCTTCTCTCACATGGGTGATTCTACAGTATGAACGTTTAGGAGTATAATCATGAATTTTCAGCTTTGGACAAGCATTAGTTTCTAAGAAAAATTAAATTGTTTGCAAAAAACGTGAAGAACGCGACATATTCGCTGAGTCAGGCTTTCAGCATCTATTCCCTCCTCACATAGCTAAACTAAATCTGTTGCCAAAGAGGGCATTTGAGCGAGCAATTCTCAAAGTTTTAATCGTCCGGGAAGCCCCGATGAAGGCGGACGGACCGGCGAAACGTTGGCCTATCGCGTAATAAATTCCTGCTACAACCTTGGTCGACAGCTAAAATATTCTATTACAACTTGAATCACAATGCAAGGTTTATCGACACTCGAGCACGAAATATTACTGTTTAGTTACGAGCAGCTGATTTTCTTTTAATTAATCCTCTACGAACAGCATTCTCATAAGCCATCCGTTGATGCACATAAGCAAGCATTTGTTCGCGTGGGCCAGCGTTCACAGCAGAGAAATTCTGTAAGCAATAAAGTACTGTGTAGCCAGTAAGTCTAAGAAGTAAAATCGCAAACTTAGTCACGTCTTGCTTGGTAAACGTACCGCTAATATGGTAAGTAACAAGAAGATATAGTTGAGAATTTCCATTCTGGTCGAACTGACGTAAACTTTCTAAAAAATCATAGTCTGAGAGAGCAAGCGGTACATAGGGCGGTCGATAAAACAAAGATTTATGATAAAACGAGATTTTTTGGCACAACTTGACAAATAAACAAATGATCTTTGAGTGCAAGGAAAATTACGAGACTAAAATAACCTTGGTTTTTTCTGCTATGTAATTCCTGAGCATTTGTTAGAGACAATTTCGCAGATTATGTCAAAAATAGAACCTCATAAAATTGTGCACAATATACACAACTCTATCTTCACTAAAGCTTGCTATTCCAATATATGTATCCCAAAAAATGTGCAAACAGTTTGACCGTTGATATCAGTAGCTTTCACGTCTTCGCCGAATTTAAGGCATTACTCTGTAGAGCTGGCTTCAACTTACAAGGAAAGGATACTAACTGATTCGCCTACTGAGATGAGACACATACATTTGCAATCAGGGAACACTGATTCTAATTATGGTGTTCCTAACGGCTTAGCATTATTCTAAAGCAATTTATGTTCTCTTTTCTATGCAAAGTTTGCGTGCTCCCTGAGCTACGGATGCTACGGTGTCGACGTCTAGGTGGTTTTGCAAATGTATAATGCTTCCTTACAAAATCGAAAGAATTAATCTGATGCTAGTTCAACAGCCTAGCACTTCTTTCGAGCTGATTCTTATCTATACGCCGTTTTACGACATTCAGAAGTTTGTTGATTACTTACAACTGCAAGCCCATAACTCGCTCCGGAATAACGCTAAGCAGCTAGGAACAACATATTTGGAATCAGCGTTCAAAGCTAATTCCAAATATATATGTCTATGAGCTTTTGCACTCCAGTCTGCAAGCTCTCTTGCTCACTAAAGGATCGTAAAACTCATACGTGAGTGTCTCTCTGCTGGCGAAGAAGCGAAGCAGTAAGATGTGAAAAGAAAGAAATCCATTGTTAACCCAGAAATTTATTTATAATATAGGGTGTCCCAAAAAATGTTAACACTGTTTGATCGTTGATAACTCTCTTGCTTTCAAGTCTTTCGCCAAGCTTTAGGTGTCATTTTGTAGAGCGAGGATAAACTTAGATTTACAGTAGTGGAGCGAACCATCTCACGCTCCTCGTTACTGTAGAATTACTTTGACAAGGATTTTAGGCCGTCAAATGCCATTTCCTGCTTCGAAACAGAGCCAAACAAGCCAAAATCTCTTGTTTTATGGGTAATGAAAGCCGGTGATTTTGGATATGAAATTCCACTTTGTTATGATACTTCTTTTCAAAGTTATCTTAGGTAAAGTGCAATAACTGACTTCTCAGCATATGTCAAAAATGTGATTGCACCGTGAAGAAGCTGAAAACACCCGTAAAAAGTTGTTAAGTGGAATTAGCATGCGCGAAAACCCTATACACGATTTTTCAGATTTTTTAAAAAAAAATTTGGCCAAAGGGCATATTTAATGATGGTTCCACATGCTAGAAATTCCTACCGTAATCCTACAGTAACGAAGAGCGAAAGGTGATTCGCCTCACACAGTAAAGTTCTAAGTTGAACCTCGCTTTACAGAATGGCGCCTAAAGCTTGCCGAAAGACATGAAATCAAGGGAGTTATTAACGATCAAACAGTGTCAGCATTTTTTGGGACACCCTGTATAAATGCATTTCTTTAGATAAAGGCTGTACTAAGACACCAGAAAAGGAAAGGTCGACATTTCGTTTCACCTATCATATAATACCTTTTCTCAGCATACTAAAAGCTTGCAAAATAGGGTTATGTTGTGTTAACTAAAGGCTGGCCTCGATAGAAATATTTGTGGAAGGCAAGCCCTACAACATTTGAAGAGAGACAACTAGAGCGTATGACTGACACGGACACAACTTCCTTTCTTACACTTATAAATATAGTCCTGTTAGACGTATGCGAGTACTTCTTTTAATCTCTTGGGTGTAATCAGATTTAGAAATTTAGATAAAGAAAATCTCTTGACAGTTACCGTAACGAAAATCTGTGTTAATCCTTGAACCAAATCCGCAACTCGTGACTAAAGTGTGTCCGCTGTTTGTGACCGAGTGTGTCGAATGACAATTTTACGATGCTTTCGAGCTTTTAGATGATTTTGTACTCAGAACCGAATGGTATTTTCAAGAAAATGGTGCTCAAGATTATTTTTTTACCAAAATAGTCAAAAAATCTCATATTTTCCAAATAAAGTATCGCAATGCAAATGCTTACCTTGCTCAAGGCTTGATGAATGAACTCCCAAAATTCAATCCTCTCTAAAAATCGTGGCTTTTTTGATGACATGCTGTGAATTCATCAAACATATACATACAAGCCCATGCTATAATTATCTTGCATGATGCTTGTTTTGAACTCACACCAGATACTGTAAAAAAATTGGCTTTTTGCTCTACAGAAGCGAATATTAGGCTTCCTTTTGTACTCATAGTTTTCATTTCTTCGGGGCCATTACAGCACCTGCGTTTCTACAAGCTTCATGATTCGGAACTCCATTCTGTTCATCTTCATCTAAATATAAGTTCGGTTATGGCAAACGTTTTGTAAACGTCTTTTCTCTTCAGCCAAATTTTCAGCCGATTATGATTTCTGAAGTGAATCCTTGATTTGATGACAATACTTTTTATCTAGAAGGAGCTAAGTGGTGCTTTTCAGTGATGCAAAAAAATATTTTTAGATTAGTGTCATTGAAAATCATTTACAATAAGCTCCTTAGCGATTGCTAATAGATTGCATCGAAAGTTTGCTTCGATGACGTCTTAGTCATTTTTGCTTCTCTACTGTACAGGGCAAAATATTGTGTGCTCAAACTCTTTGCTACCACTTTAAAAAGCAGTAATCACATTTATAGATTCTGCTCTAATAATCAGCTCCTTGACCTCAAGTTCCAAATGAAAAAGTAAGCGCGGTAAATCAGACAAAATTTCTGCATCGATTATCTTGGGAGGTAACATTTTGGTAACAAAAGGACACCAGAAGTTTTAGGGAAAAGAAATTGGTGCAAATGAGATAATTTATTTTGTAATAATCTTGCATTCAACATATAGCGTTTGAAAAAGTTGCCTAGCTCAGAAACTCAGTTTCCCTAGCATGTTGTTTGAAGTGGCGAAGAGAATTACATGAAGCTTGTAAGGGAGATCCTCTGCTATGAGACAGCGAGCTCACTGAAACAAGCTCTCCTTTGTAAGCCATGATCGCTCCTCAAAACTCTTTTTCTGATTCAGTTTCCTAGCCTTTTTACGAAGACCATGCTTAGTTCCCTTTCTCGAGCCGTCATGCTCCTTCTAATGTAGACCCCTTAAATGTTGGAGAGTCCCGGAGCAGTCAAGCCCAAAAAAAGGCGGAGGACCTATGATTTCTTGTGGGTAATTCAACCTTCACACGCCTGTTAGTCACTCTACAATCCATTTGGAAAACCTTTACTGGTTTATACTCGATATCTTACGTGTCAAGAAATTCATGTACTTTCTGTTCGGTATCATTTATGGCGTTTAAACGGCAAAGGATAGGTCTGCCCATCCCTTTTAGCAAGTTTGGACAGGCCTGCAATGACTTTGATTTTCTGTCTTACATATCTTTCAACCGCCCCATCACCAAGCTCACCTAAGCAACAGAATCGTTAATGAACGTGATTGTTGCGCCCCTGTAACGCTCACTCTGTTATGCACCTCCAATATGTTCAGATCCAACAATTTTTTGGAAGGCTGCAGGATTCATTCATGACCGGGACTATCATGACCGTTTAACTGAGCCAGGTTGATGGAAACTAACACGTTTATTCTGAAGATCTTCTTAAATAGTCTCCGAATTTTTGCGCTGTTTGTAAATTTTGCAGGCATAGTTTGAAGATAGGGAAAAAAGAAGAGTTGGAAGCAAAAGAAGAGTTGGAAGCAAAGTTATTGATTATGATACTGAATTGGGTACAGTCAAAGTGGAAAGACAAAAGAGAGAAAAAGAAAATCAACAATTTAGATTTGCTCAGATTCAACAAAAACGGAGTGAATCGCTAATGTTCAAAAAATTTGTAGCTCGTCTTTGGACTAACTTCAGGAAACCGGTACAAAAGGAAAAGATCAAAAGAGAAATAGTTTGGTAATCAAAAATATAGTAGACGTCATCCGTCTAGTCACCTTGGTGCGATGTGTGTTACTGCACACAATTTTGAAATTCCGGATGAGGTGCTGGGCTTTCGCCTTGCCGTTCTTGCACCAAGTGCACATACGGCTAATCGACGCCAAACTGTCCAATTTTCTTATTTTGATGTTTTTTCTTCGTTTTGAGCACTTTTTCTGCACGCATGGTCTAGTTCTCAATGATTTGTTACCTTTATACTCGTGCATTGCCGTTTTAGATCGGATATAAAATTTATCACGTCTGCTTTCATATAATGGAGGCACATGGGCAATCTTGCAAGATTGTGAGGTATGTGTTTTTTTTCGGTATTGTCGTATGTAAAAAGAATAGAGGAGTATCTCTTAGGGCCGCATGCACTAACATTTCCGCTGGGGAGGGGATTGCAGCCTCAAAAGAAAGCTTCATATCCTGAAGCTCCGGATATCTGGACTTCGCGCTGTCTATCTATCCGAAGTGCTCCCACCATCCTTCACTAAGGACATATTGAACAGTAGCGAGAATAGGATCCCTGATGACCCTGGGGGACGAACATCTAATTTTCGAAGTCATTTTTCTTTCTCCGAAGTTAACGAATACGTTCCAAGGTTGTACTGAACATCTAACACAACAGTGCTAAGCATGCTGCTGATGAGAATAAATGAATTTTTGAAAAATCGAATTTTTCGGTAAACCCCAAATTTCGACCTGTGGATCACCGAAAATTTTATGGCTCCAAAACATCATTTGTTCTTATCGGCAACATGCTTAGCACTGTTGGGTTAGACTATCTGCACAACTTTAAAAGTTTTTCGTTAACTTAGGGAAAAGAAAAATGACTTTAAAGAAAAACGCGGGGATCATCACGGATCATACAAAAGCTGAAAAATGCGGTTCGTACA